CGCTGCCGCCATGTCTGTTTTGAAAATGACGACGCATCGACGCAGATTTTTTTACGTCGACGTATTTTACGCGTCGACGTAATCGATTACGTCGACGCGTTGTCCCAACCCTACATCCCATGCGGGTTGACCCCTGCCTGGGGCCGGGTGCTTCCTGGGACAGGTTCCAGGCTCACCGTGACTCTGTTTTGGCTAAGCAGTTATGGATGATGGGTGGATGGATAAAAAACACTGCTCACACACATCCAGAAAGCATCCAGAAAGCAGCTTAGCTTTTAATACATGCGGACTGTAACTTTTATCACGCGATGTAGAAAATCATTAGTGCTTTTCTGGACATTAAGAAAAGGATGGCTGTTGCGTGAACAAGCGTGTCGCGTGTGAGTTTTACTCTCTTTCCCTTGGCCACATGCATTTAAAGGACGCCAGGTCCGATCTGCTACATGCATTTGGAACTTGCTGCACTGCAGCGGTTCCTCTGCTCCGCTGGAGGGCAAATTCCTGTGACTGCGGCGTGAGCACGAGACCTTAAACTTTAAGTTAAGCCTCAGTATTTCAATAAAGTAAATCACTGTTTCTTAAAAGGGCTTCCATCCTGGCACGCACTTTATAATCTCCACAGGCTTATTCTGGGGGAATTTCTGGGCCTGCAATGGTGCTTCTCGCATTGTGGAGTTAGCTAGCTGGGAGAGCTTGACCTGTTTGAAAACAGGGCCATCCCAGTGAGCTAAAAGCTTTTCTTAAAACCTCAAAGATTTCTGCCCTTTTTTCTGCCCCACGTATGCGTGTGTGAGTGCGTGTGTGCTGGCCTGCCACATTTGCAGACTGAAATTAAGTCGGGAATCCCTTGTGCCTGGGGCTGGCTTCCAGCAGACCCCAATTACAATGCGGCTGAGCCAGAGGGAGCACAGGGCAGACTGCCTGGAGCCCTCCTACTCGGCTCCCTTTGAGAAGACGCACTGTCACGGCGCAACGCGGAATCGTGGCACGTGTATGAGGCGCCAAACCGGACAAAAGCCGAGAGGAAACCAATGTATGCGATGCGTGAGAGACAATGACGTACCGCGCGCGAGCAAACGAACGGAAGAGATGTTTAAAGTCTGCGAGAGAGCGTGTGTAGTGCGCGAGCTGAAATGTGTGCATCTTTATGGGACGGTTTGCTGCTGCCTTATCAGAGGTAATGATTACTAGCTGCATCACAGAAAAGCTTAAAAACAGATTATAATTAATGTAAATGTTAACGCACACCAAGCCGTGTATTATAAGTTTGAAAACTAAACGCACCGTTTGAAGCTACCACGCATTTTGCTTACATGTCGCTACCTGAAGATATCTACCACATGTTCGAACCGAAAACGCATTTATTAGTAGAATGGCTAGGCTTGGGCGACTTGTGTACTTTCGACGAAGCTATCTTAGGGACCTCACCCTCCACTCGGCGATAAAATCATTACAAACGTGTAAGCTAAAAGTATAGTAACCATGGTAGGCTATAAGCAGCTTAATAACATTTTAGCATTTTTTGTTTTAAACAACCGGCAGCAGAGGCAAAGAAATGTAACAAGCAGGATTTTGTTTTGTCCTGTTTGTTTTGTTTTCGATTATTAAAACAGGATCGACTTGTGTAAAACCTCTTATGTAAGTTAAACAGGACTCTAATATTTGGCTGGACAAGTGCATTACAATCATCTCAGGGTCAGTCAATCATATAGGTAGCGGGCGCCGGCTTGCCAGCCAAATTCACTTTGCCTTGGTCTGGGGGCGCCTGCGTTGATGCTCGCCTAGGGCGCCACATTGGCTGGCAAATCATTTTGGTCTTGGCCCTCAGCCTGAAGCACTTTTTTATCTAAGTGATTTGTAACAATGTGTTTGGTTTTACATATAGTTAGAATTAAACATTATAATCGCACATTGATTTATTTCTGTGATACGCCACTTTTGAGGTTATAGAAAATAAGCACCCTTCAGATTTGAGAATTAGACAATGCCGTGATATACTGCATATATAATTAATAGATCTTTTTATTTTGAATTTATTTATTTTTTGAATTATTAATTTATTTGCTGAAAAAACTGAAAAACACTTAGAAACACACAGGACTGACAAAAATGCAAATTCTTTATTGAAGTTGGTTCCGTTGTTTTTGTGTGTGTGTGTATTTTGCAACTATATTATGTGCCTTGTCCCCTCCGGCAAGGATCCATCTAAATTCCAATTCTTAGAATTGCCACTAGGGGGAGCCTTACAGATCTCGTTCAAGTACCTATTGTAGGAGAACTTCTGGGAAGTTTAATGCAGGTTGTTTACAACTACAGACATTTTAATGATCCAAATAGAAAAACTTTCCTTATTCAAAACATGAGACATTTATAATGAACACAACTTACAAGCCATTTAGGAGGAAATACTGACACTGAGGTCCAGCAAAGAACAAAACACAAAATTACCTCTTGAAGTCCTCCTTCCTGACTTATTTTGAGGTTGCACTGCAGGCGGTGAATAAATCGTCTCTTCTCAGTGTATTTTTTGACATGATTACAACTGACTTTAGATTACAACTGACTTTAGAAAACCATGCCAAAAACACAAGTACATGTTGGGAATATAATTCTTCAGCTAAACACCATCAGCCAATATTGTGTCTGGTCATCAAACTAAGAAATGTGACTTGCTTATCCTGTGACACTGTATGTTCAGTATAGAAGCATGGATAATGTAATTTAGAAGAAATCAGCCAAAACCTGGTAAAGCTGTCAGAAATGGTGGTGCTATAACTGTGTATGGCTAATATATTTTTATGTTAAGATAAACTAAAACACTAAAATAAATGCGTGACTTATTTTAAGGGAAAAAAAATCATATGTTTTTACTTCAAAAGTAGGGCACTTTAATACATACTAAATAAATGTAAATCATACTCAGTCTGAGCTTGTATCATTTTTGGATTGAACTGTAATCATTCCTGAATTGAGGTGTACTGTATCATTACTTGTTGAGTAGACCGTGTGCCTAGGTGTGTATAATATGATCTAACAAAAGAATCGTCCTTGCCAGAAGAGTTGCAGTGATTTCTTTGTCTCATGAGCTTTGTGAATATATTTCAGTGTTTAGCACCCACAAGTCTTTGCCCAAAGAGTGTGAAGGGCAAAGACTGCTTCAGGTGGGGTGTAATTGGGGGCGAGGAGTAGTGTGGGACTGCTGCTCTTCCAAACAGAGCACCCACACACACACACGCAGTGTTTCCTCCTCTTCATCTCCCTTTGCTGACCATATCGTCCTTCATCATTCAGACTGAGGCTACAGATACTTAGCCCGAGTAAACCAGGGCTTTTGTTTTAAACGCACAGATTAATACACTGTAGGTCAGCACGGTTATTTATTTAGCATTGCAGTTGGCAGAGGGTTGGTCCCAGAGGTGGAAATTCTGAATGAGCCTCAGTGTAGCTGAAAGCCATGTCATATATAATATACATGAGGGAGCACAGGTTGTGCTAGTAAGAATATGGCTGGTTGGCTAAGACTTTTAAGAAGACAAACCCACTTCTGTGACTGATAAAATGTACTGCAGCCAAGAATGCACACTACAGCATACGTATAATTAAATGATTCATTAAAAGTGTGATTTATTATAACTAGTTGGCTGACTTTTCCGCAGTTTCAGGAACCCTTTGAAAACTGACATCAATACATCAGTTGGCAAAAATTCACCCTTTATGCTAATAAATGACCTGTTTTTTCACCTGCCTTTTAAGTGATTTATTAAAAGTGTAATTCCTTGTTTTTATGTCGACTGTACAAGTGACCTATGTGTTTGAAAGAAATTTGTGTGCGCATCGGAGGTTAAACATAATTATAAGGTTTGTTTCCCCTGAATGATGCGAGACGACTTTTTCCTCTGTGTGTCCTCTGCGTAGTTCTCTGGAGGAGAACATTCCTCCTCAAATCTACATCTCAAGATTAACACATGTCCTGGGAGCTCTTAACACTGTGAAAAGGCTTTAAACCAGCCTCGCCCACCAACATCAGCTTCCCATACTATGTTCCTTGACACGTGGGTTCTCTAGGGCGTCGCCCAGTACAGATTTGAACCCAACTCTGTTAAAAGTCCAGCTTGTTTCCTTGGGATTAACAGGATATGCAAGAGCCAAGCACAGGGACCTCAGTCTGAACACAGATCAAATAAAATGGGTTCTTTGGTCCAGGGTGAACTCTTCCTGGAGCTGTGGGTTTCCGAGCAGTCCGGTTGAGTAATGGCCTGTGTGAGACAAATGTAAGAAAAATATGTGAGTATGGGATATATTGGGTTGGGTGATGAGCTTGTGAATAAGGGCTTCAATTCTTCTATATAGCTCAAAGATTTGCTTGCATTGCTTGTCAGAGAGGTGGTAGTATCATACACATCTGTTATCTTGTTTTTATAATGTGTTTAATGTAATTAAATTTGGCTAATAAAGCACTTGATAATTTTTGTGTCTGTTTGTTTGCGCAGGCTTAGAAGGAATCATTTGACCCAAAGGCAGTGTCTAAGGGTTGGGGGAAGACTATGTTGGATCCGTTGCGGAAAGAAGGGAGCTGGACGAAAAAGATGTTGTTGCTGCTGTACATGGCCCTGGAACTTATGACTGCTCACTCGTCGGTTCTCCTGGGAACTCTGGAGCTCCAGCTAGATGAGGAACAGCCTGCAGGCACCATCGTGGGCGATATCACTGCTGGCCTGCCCCCTGGTGTCACAGCCTCCCAGTACTTTATTTCTGACCACCAGGGTACTGGTGTGGGCAGCGACCTCCATATAGACGAGAAAACTGGCATCATCAAGACTGCCAAGGTCCTGGACCATGAAGTGAGAGACCGCTACAGTTTCATTGCTGTCACCATGACTGGTGTGACTATGGAGGTGATCATCACAGTGAATGACATCAATGACCACGCACCGACATTTCCCAGGCAAAGAACCACCTTCAAAATTCCTGAGCAAACTGCTATTGGCACACGGTTTCCCCTGGATTCTGCCACCGATGCAGACAAGGACCAGCTGACAACACAGGGTTACCTCATCAAAGATGGAAATGAGGGGCAGAAGTTCCTTCTGCAGACCAAGAGGGGAAGCAACAAAGGTCTTTCCTTGGATCTTGTGGTTAATGGCATCTTGGACAGAGAACAAAAATCATCTTATACTTTGCTCCTCGAAGCCTTTGATGGTGGGTCTCCAAAGAAGACTGGACAAATGATCCTTGACATTATTGTGCAGGACATAAATGACAATGCTCCAGTTTTTAACCAGAGCCGCTACCATGCTGTCATCATGGAGAACATGCAACCTGGCAACAGCATCCTGCAAGTGTTTGCTAATGATGCTGATGAAGGGGACAATGGCCTGGTTTTATATGAGATCAACAGGAGGCAGAGCGACCCTGACCGCTATTTCTCTATTGATCCACACTCTGGTGTGATCACACTCAGCAAGCCCCTGGATTACGAAATGCGCAAAGTCCATGAGCTGGTGGTGCAGGCCAGGGACAACGCCAGCCAGCCAGAGGTCACTAACACTTTTGTCACTATCCATGTCCGTGACTACAATGACAACCAGCCCACCATGACCATCATCTTCCTCAGTGAGGATGGCTCTCCTCAAATCTCAGAGGGAGCACAGCCAGGCCAGTTTGTGGCTCGGATTTCTGTTTCCGATCCCGATTATGGCGAGTATTCCAATGTCAATGTTTCCCTGGAGGGTGGGGATGGCAAGTTTGCCCTGACCACCAAAGACAACATCATTTACCTTATCTGTGTGGACCAGATCTTGGACCGAGAGGAAAGGGACTCCTATGAGCTGCGAGTCATGGCCACAGACTCTGGCACGCCGCCTCTCCAGGCAGAGTCTTCGTTCACTATCCAGGTCACTGACGTCAATGACAATCCGCCACTCTTTGAGCAGCAGGTGTACACACAGGCCATACCAGAGGTGGTTTTCCCTGGGAGTTTTGTGCTGCAAGTCACAGCCAGGGACAAAGATCAAGGGCCCAATGGTGACATCCACTACAGCATTCTTCAAGATTATGGGACTCACTCGAACTGGTTCACAATTGACTCGGCCACGGGGATAATCACCACTGCAACACAGCTGGATTACGAGACTGATCCTAAACCCAGTCTAATCGTGGTGGCTTCCGATGGGGGGCAACCACCTCTGTCCTCCACAGCTGTGGTGAACATCATACTGCAGGATATAAATGACAATGAGCCTGTTTTTGGAAGGAGCTTCTATGAAGTGTCCATCAACGAAAACACTCCAGCAGGAACCTGCTTCTTGGAGGTAGGATCTTCTTTTTGCTGTTCATTGCATAAGTATTATGTTAATTTCTAACATAAAGAATTGACCGCATGAAATCTTGCTAAGATAGAGTGCAATTTTGCCATTAAGTTATAAATAACTTTGGGTATAGACCATGAGTCATGTTTATTGCCATATTTGACTTAATATGTTTTCTTGTTTTGTAAGGCAGTTTTTAAGCCTGTACTTCTGAGATTTGTTTTATTTTGGAGCAGTGCCCTGGGTAAAAACGATGGTCGATATTTTCATGAATAAGAGTGTTTTTTCTTATGTCATCTGAGACAAATGTCAAGGTAGACCGCAGCTGCTGAGGCGCATTAATTTTGATTTTTCTCTGTTGGCCTGGAATCAAGTGCGTTTATTGCAGAACCCATTGGGATTTAAAAATATTGGTTAGGGGTTCACCTGCAGCATGTGAGCTCAGAAGATTTACTCAGAGCTGGCTGTCCTTTTCTTCACCTCTCAGAGAGGGTTTCCTCAGTAAATTAGACACTGAGAGCTTCTCTCTTGAGTGGGGCTGCTTTCGATCTGCTTGCATTGTCTAAGATCTTAAAGGTTTCTCCAAGGCAGGTAATGGAACAATGCAAGTTGAAGCCACATTTCAACTGGTGGGTAACATGGGGCAAAAAAACACTGCAACGACAGTAAGAAAAAGTTGCTGCACAATCGAAATGCTTTTCTTTTTCAGGTGCTTGATGCTTGCTCTCTGCTCACTCTCACTTAGTGATATTCTCCAGCACTACAAAGCTGTACTGTAATCTCATGTTCCAACAGGAGCTTTGGAAAGAGAAATGGTCCCCAAGTTAAAAAAAAGAGAGCACATGCAGGAATTCCACATTCGTTACACAGCCTTTTAATTCATATTTCAAACGTGTCTGCGGTTGAGATGCATCAGCCAACTCTGCAAGGCGCAGAACGACCCTGACAAAGGCCCTGGCAAGTGAGGTCTGGACCAGAGGCTGCTCTGGGGATATAGGGAGAAGGGGTGGCTGGGGGGGCTTGACGCTGTCTGACGGCTCTTGGCATGCATTCGAGGAATAGAAGCCGTTAGCGCTTGTCTTGGAGGTCCCCCCAGGGAACTGCCGAGGAATGCTGGGCAATGAAACCCCAAAGAGGATCGCCCAATAAATTTGGTTCACAGTGATCATAATGTTTTTAAGAAACTAGATGGAGGGCACACCACAGAGATTGCTAAACAGTTCCACGAAAACATTAGTCGATATTCCCCTTTTGTCGCCTCTTTTTCCTTTGTCTTTCTCAGGTTTTGATGGAGCTATTTCCTCTTCCTCGGTGTGGCAGACAGCTACTTGAGACCAGTGAAAGCTTAGCCCTGTAGTAGGAATGTTGCTGTGTGTGTGTGTGTGTATTTTTTCCCCATATCTCATTTGTTTCCCATTTGTGCCCCCACCATGCCCTGGTTCATAGATAGGTGGGGCATTTCTGGATATCTACAGAACACCACCCCGGTGTTGGAGATGGATATATGGACGCTGGCACCTTGGACCTGGCTCCTGATCCCACATTTTAGGGGTCTGCATGAATAACTTACTCCGGCATTCGTTACTTCCAAATGTACCTACAGCAGGCTGCAATGGCTGTCTTCACTTCTGAGCTTCCCAGCCCCAGTTTTGGAGCATCTAAATTATTTGTATAAAAACATATGAGGCCATTGAGGAAAGTGCTCGGTCTACCTTTAACGCCCATCTTTTAAGGGAGATAGAAGAAAAGTAAAAGAATATGATATGAGATGTATGAGAGCTAAAATGCTTCACCTTTAGAACTTTAAAGTTGGACTATTTATAATTGTTTGGAATGAAGTATTACTATTAGTGTAAGCATTTATATTCATTTTTTACCCATTGTGCCTCTTAAATGTGTTCACTGTTAAACAGTGCCAGCTTCCTGTTAAGTGTTTGTTACCCATAATAAGGCCATCGAAGCCTCACATGCACTCCATGGGTGACCCCTTTGTCCCCAGCCGTGGCGAGGGGTCTCGAGTGGAGGCAAATGTCCCCCTGTCAGAGGAGTACCTCACATGGCAATGAGCCCACATTTCACATCTCTTTCAAACTCCTGGCTGGAAAGAATCCTCCATGGGGGTCGCACCCAATTGAAAGGACTTTTTTCCCCACCTTGCCAGAGAGGCAGCTGCTGCGTAATTGGTGCGTTTTGGTTGCAGTTCCTCTTCTTAACGGACTGAATAGGAGAGCCTTGGGGTAGACAAAGTGCCATTCCTCTGTGGGTCCTGGCCATACAATGGAGCCCACGATTTCACTAGGTCCAGTGTTTCCAAATGACCTTATCATCAGACAGCTTTGTTTGTTTATGTTCATGTAAAACGATGCTGTCATTTCCCTCGCCAGTCGTGGCGTTCTGCGAGGGCCATGTGTGACTGATTCCGCTGGTGCTGCATGCAGTTAGACGCAGGACTTGTCAGCATACACTGCAGGCCTGTCAAGATAAGAATCGGCCTTATGTCTTGCCTCTCGGCCTAGCAGGAGGCCAGGAGACAGGACGGGGTGTGGGGGAGACCTGCCCCACAGAAGAGGGCAGGATAGAAGGGGGCTTCCTCTTGCATATGAGGGGGGTCACCATCTTCCCAGCCCCATGTCTGATCTTACATCAGGTCCTGTTAGCTGCAGGAACTAGCAGAGAGTGCACCCCTCTGAGATGAGAGTCCTACCCAGTGCCTGCTCTGTTACACCCCCCCTCCCGCCCACGCAATGGGGCAGCAAGAAATGAAAACATTTAGAGGCTTGCGCCTGGTAGTGCTGCAGTCCTGCTAGAATTGAAATGGTTTTATCAACTCCTTTGCATTCCATAGAGCTCCCTGTCCAGGTCATGTCTTCTGTACCCTTTCATGTCTTTGAACCCGGTGCCCCGTCCTGTTGCTGACATCACACACCTGTTTGTCATTGCCGTGCTCCTGTGGCCCCAGGGTTAAGGGCATGGTCATTCTTACAGATTTTTATTATATTGTGTTTTTTGTTTCTTCACAAAGTATAGCAGTGTTGCCAAGTTGGGCTGCAACCTGGAATTGATGAATAGGAACTGTGGGAAAATCACAGGCATTTGTGCATGTGTGTGAAGGGAGTGAATGTGAGAGTCTCAGGAACAATGGAATGAAAGGTTTACAATAAGTGAGACTGGAATGAGTGGGGAGGTATTTTTTGTAAAGCACAATCGATGCTTTTTTGGCCAGTCATCTTCCATCTCTTCAATTCCTCTCTAGTAACCAGAATGATCCTCCCAGCTGTAGCCCCTTGATACGCAGGTGTCCAGTGTTTTGCCTGATTTATTTGCACAAGATGTGCTGATTGGCTGATACTAAATTTTGGTGGAAAAACACTAGGGGTCTGGACTCTGAAGTCTGTAATCTGTGATGTCATGGCTGGCTAATGCCACATCAGTGCTTCTGACCTGACCTTTAACCTCTTTGACTTCATGCCTGGTTTACAGAAACCCAGTGAACTTGTTCTTTACACATTGAGGAGCAATTCATAGCCGTATGTCTTTGGCTCTGTTTGTGCCGTGAGAGTCATTTGCCTCTCAGACACTTTGGAGGTCAACCTATTTCCTTTGCTGTAAGCCAGTGGGTGGATTTGCACGGGGCTCCATTGCACTGAAACCATTTCGTCTGTAACCTGCCCCGAATGGGAAGGTTGGACAGGGTTAGCTCAGTCAGATATAATCTGCAATCTGCTGCCCTCACCCTCTACGCAGCTGTGCTGTCGGCCTGTGTTCGAGGTCTCACTCATCCGTCATGGGCTCCCGTTCTTATTCAGCCCGTGGCTCTCCATTCATATACAGAATAAAAGAAATCCGGTGCTGCTTTTCAGGATTATTTCTGCATTTTCTCTCGCTCAGGGTACACTCGATTCACATTAAATTGTACAGATTTAATGGAGGGTTTTCTAGGGTGAACTGATGGTTTTGAAGGAAACTGGGAGGCAATACAGCAGAAAGAACAGCACCATATGGTGTTTTTTTACAGAAACCCCCTGTTTTGCATCTAACTCCCTCGCTGAAGCCTTTGTTTCTCGTGATTGGAGCAATTGTGGAGTTTCCTATTGCTGAATTGACAGATCATGCCCCCTTCCCTTCAAAATCACGCTCTCCAATCCAAAAATCCCTGGTCACACTGGTTTAGCACAAATAAAACTGGACCCTTCCATCCGCTCGCAGCGGTGCAAGGTGGAGAGGAAGGCTTTCGGTTTGACCCCAGAAACGGGAGCGAAGACAAAATCCTAGCTTTCAATTGAACCAGTAAGGGGCGGAATAGACTGCTGGGGATGAGCAGCCGGCCAGACGGCTTTGGGGTTTCCTGTCCCCATTTTTCAGGATTCCCTGGTTTGCCCAGGGCTTGAATTTGATTTTCCATTCAATAGCCACGGAGACCGGTTGCTCTCTATGCAGTGTTTCCCCTACCATTATATTATGGGGGCGCCCTGTCCCCCCAACAGCACCTCCCACCCCCCCCTTGAAGGTCAAGTTAATTTTATTAAATTTTTTTTTCTATATAGAGGCAGATCACAACAGAAGTCATTTAAGGTTACCTTTCCTATAGAACAGGTCTATACATTGTCCTTTTATTAAACTAAATAGCCTTATGTTATTTACACAACAGCTTGTCATTTTTCTCTCTACTCGGTTGCGCGTTTACAATTCTCCTCTACTCTCTGTATCGCCCATGGCGGAGTTCCGCCCCGATGCACAGACACAGGTGAGCACACTCCCACCAGCGGACAGAGAGCGTATGGCAGAAAATGTCGTGTCAACCACCTGAAAAGCAAAAATATCTGCGTACCCAGAACGATACACTGCAGTGACAAAAGCTGCACAGTTTGTGGAAAATATTGATAAAAAGAAATGTTCTGGTGTTTAGTTCAGTTGTTATATTGACTGCTTTCATTAAAAGAAACACATCATGAATCCTGTCGGTGTCCATCTGCCCCTCCCCCCCCCATAGCTGTAAACCTAGG